GGTCTGGAGGACCAGAGAGTCCCGGTTTAGGAAGGTACAAGCTATACTCAAATAGTAGCTGCTGTACTCTGAAAACACATTTTCCTTACATGAAAGTAGTGGAATGCCCTAATTTAAATGCAGAAACCCCCCTCAACTTATTCTAGACAGGATCTGTGCCTCCATAATATTTACAGTATTAAGAGCCAAGAGTGTTGAGAAAGCATGTCATCATTCATCTGTAGCCTTCACTACTGTCACAGTAAGGATCTCAAGTTAATAAGGGCCGCATAATTTCATGTCAGCTGTGCACAAAGCACTTTTTATGTATTTAATGATAGATGTCACCCTTCTTACCCCCTACCCCCCAAAAACAGAAACAATTAGCTACCATTTTGTTAATGTTAATCAGAGGAAACTTCAGTTTCTGGCATACTTTTAACTGCAGTATAAAAGGTAATATTTAAAACACAAAGCCAATACCACACAAACACTAGCTGCCATATGTGAGGCATTTCTAAGCATGGTTTCTATAAAGATAGCCGATATACAGTATCTGGCTTCTGGCCAAGCAACATGGAAGTGTTTAAAAAGCCCCGTTTAATCCAATTCTACAGCTTTGAAACAAAAATAAAGCGCTGTATGAACTGTTAACATGAAAAATTAAAGGCATATAAATGAGTGAAAAATTGTCTGAGTAAGTGAATATAAACATTTCAACTAGATATCTTAATCGTAATTAGCAACATTTGGCACATGTTAAGATACAATTTAAAGCTATGGCCACTTAGATACCCCTGAAGCCTATAACAAAGCTACAAATATATTTGAGTACTGCACAAATATTACTGCACATTAGTAAACACAAAGAAATAGTAACAAGATCCAATTCATATTTTGAGATGGTGAAAAGTATACATCTTGATTAGTTACTAAAAATGAGAAAGTAGTTTTTGCCCCCAAGAAAGCTTATGCCCAAATAAATCTGTTGGTCTTTAAGGTGCCATAGGACTCCTCATAATCTGTATCCACACAAACAAATACCACTACACCTCTGATACTTATTAGTTCATAAATTCTTGTTACTGAACTGCCGCTTTTCTTCCAAAGCACTATGGAAAATAGATGACATGTTCTTACTAAAACATGAGTGTTTACTGTAGAACATATTGCAGGAGTAATCCAGAAGTTATTACATCTGTAAGATAATGCTATGATTACATATAGTACCTAGTTTTCTGATTTTAAAAATAAAGCGCTTAGGGACATATGGGCTGAAATAAAAATTACATAGATACTGCACTTTGGTGTGCTAGGTTTAAGCAGGAGAAAAAACATTTTGTAAATTTTCGAAAAACCTCAGGTTTCCTTCATTTTGTCTCATGTGCAACATCTCCCCCCATTCATTCACATGGGCATATTTGAAATAATTTAGTATGTACATATTATCTGTGCTTAGAAAGGAAAGGGTTTCAAATCTGAAATTAAGTGCACAGTTCAAACTCTGCTTTCAGAAATTCATGTGTGGTTCCTCTCATTATGGGGCAGAATCTGACTCTTGCAATGAGATTCTGTGCTGTACCTTAAGAGGCTCAGCACAGAACTAAAGACCTAGAAGGGGAGGCGCTGAGATGTTTAAGCCACCTTCGCACCTTCTAAGCAGAGGCTGCAATGGCACCTGGCATAACAGCACAACTCATTTTCATGTTTTTTCTAAAAAAGTATACACACGCATTGTGTGGTGATGAATGGTACTGACTGAACCTAATAAGATGGAGTGGGCAAAAACAAACAAACAAACAAACAAACAAACAAACTATTTCCCTAACAAGACTGCAAGTCTAAAAATATCGAAGGAAATGCACTATTGTTGCTATGTACAGTAAATTTAAAACACTAAACTGTTATTTAAAAGTTATGGGAAGGGAGCTTGTTTCAATGGGAAGGGAGCTTGTTTCAATCTTATTTCTGCATAAACAATCCAGAACAGTAACTATTATTTATTTAAAAATTACTTAACCAATTACAGCGTCGACCTTATAAGCAGAGCCAGAGGAAGTAGGTTTCATTTTTTTCCTCCTACCATTTCCTAGATGACTAGCAGTATACACAAATCTAAATATACTGCTAATATAAGCATGAACACTTATAAAGTGCATGACTTCTTAAAAGGAGCAATAACTACTACTCCTCTGTTTAGGCCAATGCCCAACCCTGCTATAAAGGTTAGCAAGCAATAAAACGGCAGTGGTTTGCCAAGGACTACGCTGTTGCATTAATCTGTGCTGATGCAGGGATGGGCAACTACAGCACTCATTAGCTGCGGATCACTGATCCCAGCCAACAGGAACTACAGGAAGTGGTGCCCCGGTCCACGCTACTTCCTGCAGCTCCCATTGGCTGGAACTAGTGATCCGCAACCAACAGGAGCCGCAATGGCCTTACTTGTGGAGGCTATACTTGCTATTCTGTTATTCTATTGTCCGCGGGAGGGTGGATGATCTACATCAGTGTTTCTCAACCAGTGGTACAAGTACCCTTAGGGGTACTTACGAGAAGTCCTGGGGGTATATCAACAACTGAAATTTGGAGAAAACTGAATTTTTGTTTTAAGTTTTACAGCACTTTATTTTTGTACTTTCCACACCCAAAAATTTAATTGCCCGCTTGGCTATGATTAAGTTGTTTAAACAAATGTGTTGCAACAGTAGAAGAAAAATTATGTGTGTCTGAAAACTGTAGGTACTGGGGGTACTTAACTTTTTTTAAAAAAGGGATATTTTATTAAAAAAAGATTGAGAAACACTGATCTACATCAAGAATGCGGAAGAGGTATTTCATAAACCACACTGTCCTACTAAGAGAACATGCAAACTGAAAAAAAAGAACAGGTGGAGTTTTATTTGTTTTAATACAGGTTCCCAGACATACCCACATTGCATGTAGTCAATAGGATTAACTGATAAGCCTCCCACCCCTACCTTACTGACCAAAAAAAGACTTTTGCCCAGGGTAAGGACTGATGAATATAGCATCACACATTCCCATGTCCCCCCCCCCCCCCCAATCTAAATGTAAGTGCTCACAAGCAGTAAACTATATGACACAAAATGACTAGTTTCAAACTTCTTGTTGCTAAAATGCCCAGAGGCCATAATAAATCATAGTTTAGGATAAGAAAAACTCTATTACAACTTATCTTTCTTCATCATGTTGAGGAATCATGACTGGTTGGTATATTTGTTTTGTAATGTTTAAATATAAATAGAAAATAAGTTTAAGACAACACTATTTAGACTATGCCACAATAGCATTAAACTTTATACTCAGTAAGATGAAGTGACTTCTTACTGAGTATAAAGATACATCTGCCAATAGTCAAGTCACTAATGCTCATAACAATCACAACATGAAATAGTGTTGCATCTCAAAAATTAAACTGAAGGTCCAGACACAAAATTAAATGTAATTCTTTCATTTTGCAAGACATGATGTCTTTATATATTGGATTTCAGATACTTTGTCATTAGCTCAACAAAGTCAGAGAACAATAAAATCCCAGTTCTTACATTTTCTATATGTATTGACAAGAGGTTTTACACTAGCTTTAAAAAAAATAAAACAGTAACCTAATGTACTAAAACGATTGATTTATTTTAAGGGAAAGGATTCAGAAAACTAAAAGAAACGTGTCTCAAGAATTGAAAGGCTTTTAGAACCATTTAAAAATGCTCTTCATTAATACATTTTTGTATAAACTGGAACTGTGTATTTACCTCAGCAAATCAGTCCACTAACAAGCAGCAAACACCAAAGACCTACCATTTGAAACAGTTTTGATGCAACTGAAGACTCACAGAAATAAGTATGACACAAGAGCTTAGCTATTAAAATGTTTTTCGTCTTTCAAAGCAGCACTCATCCTCTAACTGAAATACTCTTTGAACACTATTACTGCAGGGCCACTTTCCTGCCCCATGCTTTCATACCTAACTACCTGAATTACATCTTGAAATCCAGAACTATAACAATTCTTATTATGGCATATTTTTATACACACTTCTGTCAAGAGACCAAAACAATTAAGTCAACTGTCATTTTAAATTATCAGCAGCTTAGTTAATTTGATATTAAAAATTGTATTCTGATCATCATAAAAACTGCACAAGTCATCAGCTACTTCTATCACACTTTATTTTTACGACTTTACAGAATGGAGCCTTCCCACATGCAAGTCTGGAAATCAGCTGGCTGAATTAGATGAGAACTATTCACCTACATTTAGTCTAACTTCCTATTGCAAAAGGAACTATTACAGCCAGGGTTCCTTTAAGTATTTCTGCACAACTCTGGCATAATTCCAATATGACCATCAAGCTGCCAGATAAGCATTCTGGGGCAGCCATCTGAAAACTACTTTAAAAAAAATAATCTGAGCTACAAGGTAACAGGGTTTTCTTTACCTACATCATTACTAATTTTAAAGCAAGTATTAACTCACTGAGTAAACATAACTGACAGAAAGGCCAAGTAAAGAGTCATAAAACACGTTTGATAGGCAATTCCATTTTATTAAGTTTCCTCTGAATGTCATAACTGACATTAAAAAAAGAAAACCAAAAAAACCCAAGATCTGCACTGTTTGCCCTTAAAAATTAATAACATTGTGAAAAATGTTAAAGAAGTATCAAACACACTAATAACTAATCAAAAAGATATTTTCCAACATTATGAACACCAGGCTATTGGTCTAACTTTTATCCTGTATTTAAGAACATCCCCTACATTTTCATTTTTAGCAAACTTCTCCTGATCACCACCACAATCATTTTGAAGTGCTTCACAACAAATTTTTGCATCTATGAGCAATAGTCAATACATATAGTCTTTTTTTTTTTTTTTTAAATAACAAAGAATCACTACATTAAGTATTTACCTTGAAGGAAAATTTGAAGTTTACCTCTGACTCTTTATGTAATCTCCATATGCATTTCAAATTAATAAAATCCATGTAAACTTACCTACAGTTTGGAGGAGGGTCTAATGTAATTTCTGCAAGTTCTTTCTGAATTCTTAAGAGAAAAGAAACAGAAGTTATAAAAACAATACTTTTTCCTAAATGGATTTCCTCCAGCTTTATGAAAAGTATCTACTGTAATAATATTACAGGTTGACCCTCTCTAGTCTGGCAACATCCACGGTTGGTTAGTCGGATGTCCACTTTATCATGGGTGAGGCCAAGTTTCCCATAAAGTTAGTTTTCAGCCACCAGTCCTGATGCTCAGTGTTGTGGTTTTTAGCTCTAATTTACTTCAAGATGTCTTCTAAGAGCCCAATAAGCAGTGAAAGTGTTGGTAATGCTCCTAGGCAATATTAACCTCCTGCAGTTTGGGAATCTATCTGGTTCGGCACCCATCAAGTCCAGAAGATGCCAGGCCAGAGAGGTTCAACCTGTAAGATATACAGTTAGTTCTCATCTGTAATGACAAGTTGACGTAGAAGTTTCAGGAAACTGCTTAAAAATATTTGACAATTTAGGCTCCTATGTGTCTGCTTTTACAAAAGCTTTTTATTTTAAGTTACTCTCAGCAAAATTGGGACCTTTACTTACAAACATTTGTTTGGGTTCAAATGTAATGCCTTTTTTTTTTAAATGGTGCACGAAGTCCAGTCAGACCCAACTTGAACATCTTATTAAAAATTACCAACGCTTTGTCAGAAAGAATACTGCATGTATGAGCCTTGTATAAGAGCCAGATTATGTCATTCCATGGACACAACTATTATGGTAAGGAAATGCATATACTGAAAAAACTGACCAATATTTTGAAAAGTCAAGGGCCTAAGGAGGCTACAGACTTCATAGGTTGATTTTCAGATATGCTGAGTACCTAGCAGGTCCCAAAGAAGTCTGAAGACAGGTCCCCAAGAATTGTGAGAATTCCACAGATCTCTGTACATCATAGAGAGGGGCTAGACTCCTATGCCATATCCTACATCTGTGGCAAAATTATCATCCATGGCATTGCAGTTCATCATCTTCCCCACGTGTTGTGGGTCCAAACCATTCCTCTTGCCGCAAAGAATATGAAAATTTAAAGCAGGAGTCTACATACCAGTTTAGGAATCACTTTCAGTTAGGTAAGAAAATTCCTATAGATTTGCTAGGGTAATATGCCATCCATACAGACTCTCCAGACCACACATCCTGTAAACCTATACACACATATCCAATACCTGACTACAAAGGCATTTACACCACTGCCTGAAGAGTTTTCTGCAGCACCAGGCAGGGGGGAGGGGAATGTAATTTATCTCCCCTCTTCCAAAGACCCGGGCTAAAGATTCATGTACCCATTACTTTTGTCATCTCAAATGAGGAAAATTAGAGTTGTCAAATAACCTTTCCCCAAGATACATGCTAAATCTTAGCCATGGAGCTCAATCCTGGCTTAAGGCACACATGTATCTTGTTATAAACACCGGTCTACACATAAGCATAAGTAAAGAAATGGATTTCTCTGAAGTAAACAATCAGGTACAGTCTAGCATTTAAGATAAGGCTAAGCAATTTACACTAAATGTAAACTGTAAATGTAATATTAAGGGGGTAACTGCAGGCCTGTATGTGAAAATCTCAAAGGCCCAGGTTCTTGAAAATATTTAGGCACAGGGGTATTTAGACATCACCAAAACTCTTAGAGATTTAGGCTACTAAAGCTCCTATCAAAAAATGTAAGCCTAAATTTCAGTGTGTCCAAACCCCTTCTGAAAACAAGATTGAGATTTCTAACTCAATTAGGCATTGCAATGCTCAGAACAGCAATGACTGAATACCTTGTTAAAAACTGGCCCCAAACCACTATCAATACTTCCCCTGTTCCATTAAGACTGCATTGTGTTATTCATTTGTACTGAAAGGTGGCAAAGGAACCAGCCAAAAATAAAATATTTTCTCCCATATCATTTCCATTCTCATATAATTTGTGTGTTTACATGTACATTTCCCCAAAAAAGCATATACACACACAAAATACTTCTGCACATAAAGAGAAATGAAATATATTTGATTATTCCAGTTGCTAGAAAAGATAAATACTTCATTATATTTATTTCAACAGAAGGTACCTACTTCAGCTGAAAACTGAGGTAATTTTTCTTATCATATATTTGGAAAAAAGCCAGAGAAATGCTAAATTAATCCACTTTTAAAAATGATAAGTTTAAGTGGCTAAACATATCCAACATTACCTTTTTTAAAACAGAACATTTGCTGGACATAATTCTGCATCCCTTCTCCATCCCGCCCCCAACCTTTAAGTGGAAAAACAAACTCGCTTTTAATTTTATCCCCTCAAAATGTTCGACATAAAATATCCTTTTTTCCCCCAGTTCAAAATTATATAAAATCCCATTGTGCTTACAAAATTTGCATAGTCCATCATTTAGATCATCGGAACATTTGATGAAATAGAAACCTTCAGTTATGGATACATTTTTCTCTCCAAGAAGTTATATGGAATGGCACTGAAAATAGGGATGTTAGATACTGTGTAACTGAACAGTCACCTAAAGACATGAAATTTTAGCCATTACAACTATTCGCTAGTCCGAGGCAGAGGCCCAGTGTACTCTGACTCCATTCCCATGGAGCCCCCTGCAAGCCTGCGCTGTTGCCTCTCTCTAAGAGGCAGCAGCATGGGTGGAAGCAGCCCCTGTCTGTGGGCACCCAATTTCCCTGCAGTCAGAGGTTGCTCCAGCATGCCACAGAGCAGCCTCTGTCCACGGTGAGACTGGGCTCAACGTGGACAGACACTGCTCCACAGCAGCAGCCCCTGTCCATGGAGGGTCTGAGCTCCTCACAGACAGGGACTGCCACCGAAGAGCAGCCTCTATCGGTGGCGAGCCCAGGCTGCTGCAGACAAAGGGTGCTTTGCAGCAGCCTCCCCCGCCCCACCCCCACGCTGCTGCTGGTGGCACCATGGAGCTGGTGCGGGGGGGGGGGGG